CGAGTCTGTCGTTGAATTTCAGTTAATAATAACAATAATAATACTTTGCTATATGCCAAAGGAGTACTTGAGATACAGGATGGAATTCTCAGCATTTTTACTACACTATTGCATCCAGTTAGTACATTATCAATAAATAAAATTCTACATAGATTATGAAAATCTCTGCTCATTATGACAACAACATATTGGTATGTCGGTAGCAAAGCCAAAGTTGAACAGTGTTAGAAAAGTAGGTGCTATCATATTTTCTTGCGTAAGCGGAAGAAAGGAACAAGGCAGCACATAACAGAAAGAAAAAAAGAGAGAGAGAAAAGGAAAAGAGAGAAAGAAAATGTTGTACCTATGAATGATATGAGTTGGGAAGACAAGATCCAATTTTTCTACTGACTGTTTAATAAGTTATAGGTATCACGCCCAATGCTTTCTTCACCACACAGAACACGAGCTAGGTAGGTTATGGTTGAGTTTTTGTACTTGCTTGTGCGAGCATATAGTTTTCTATATAGGCTTCTGGTCTCTGGCCTGATGAGATGCAAGGGGAGAGTTGTGAGTGAAGAGGGTGGTGTGAGTTAGATAAAATGGATTCGGCCCATTTTTCACATGAGTCCATGTGCCTGTCAACCAGAATATTAACAAGCTGGTTAAGTGGCACATTGCTTACCCTGCTGACAACCTTTAACATCCTGTGTAATATGTTATAGTCTTTCTTCAGTAGCCCGGGAAAAACTAAGGGGGAACAATAGAGAATAATAGGCAGAATGGGAGAGTTAACGAATTGTAGGAGTAGGGGTTGGGTTACACCAGAATGTCTTAACTTCTTCATGTAGAAGGTAAGATGGAATATTTTCTTAGAAATCATCAAGATATGAGATGGCCAGGATAGATCAACAGACGGAATGACGCCTAGGTATTCAATTTCCGACTTGATTTCTATTTGAGTGCCATCTATGTTGCACACCTCCTGAGTGCTAAGCAGTTTGTTTAGGTCAGATTTATGCCTAAAGGTGAAATTGACTGTTTGACATTTAGATGGATTTAAGGTAAGACCGTTTTTCTTGGACCACTGGCTGATTTCTGATAAAAAGCCATTTAGTTCAGAACAGTCACTTTGACATTTGACAGGCAGAGATACAGTCAGATCGTCAGCATATTTGAGAAAATTAATGTCAATTGAAGATGGTAAGCCATGTAGAAAGAAAGAAAAGAGAAGTGGGGGAGAATACATCACCTTGGGGGACACCATCTTCAATGAGCACATCAGAGGAAGATTTACCTTTGTATACAGTGTACTGCATTCTGTTTGAGAAATGCAGACACTTAGTGACCCAGGACTCAGTTTGTGTCATCGAGAGCTTATTTAGCAAGATACATCTAGGTACAGAGTCGAAAGCAGAAGTGAAGTCGAGAAACGTGCAACGAACGTATTTGGCACCTTTATCTAATGATGAGACGATGCTGTTGTGTAAGAAGGCTGCAGCATCTAAAGTGCTCCTACCCTGTCTATATAAAAGTTGTCTGGGGTCTTCAAAGCTTTTAAGGGAGGGTTCAAGTTTAAGAAGTACTAGTTTTTCCATCCGCTCTAGAAACGGGGAAGTAATGGCAGTGTGTCTGAATTTTACATTCTTTCTATTTCCAGATTTAGGGACAGGGACTATTTCAATGTCTTTCCATGCAACAGGTACAACGTTTTTGGAAAAAGAAACGTTTAGGATGTTAGTAAGTGGAGAACATAGAGCATCTGCACATTGTTTTGGAACACAAGCAGGTACACCATCAGGGCCAAGGCAATGTGAGGGCTTGAGCGTTTTAAGACATTTTAGAACATCGAGAGCATTAAAGTCATGAAACTTATCAACTGCATGATTTGTAACACTAGAAGCAATTATAGTAGAAGGAGAGAGTATAAAAGAATGATTCAAAGCATTAACATCATCAGAGGGAAAAACATTGTAGCGCTTACCATTGCCAGCAATTTCGTTGAAACGTTTCCACATTTTGGTTGGAGATTTGCATGATAGAAGTTTATGATTATACAAAGCATTGAGATTTTTGATTTCAGATTTGATTAGAGTCCTAACTTATCTTTGGATTTCTAAAGGTAGATGACTGAAGAAGCAATAATAAAGAATTTTAAAACATTTAGTTCCTTTTATGAATTTAGTTAGACAAAGCAATAAACAGACGTAATTTGTCTGAATCGTGTAATGAGTAATTACGGAGTACATTTCGAACAGTCTGATCACACACGGACTTATCATAGGACTGTATATATATGAAATTAATAAAAAGTTAAGAGGTGAGAAAAGAAACTACTTAGGTCAAGTTCAAAGGCCATCATATTGAAGGTCAAAATAGCAATGAAGATCACTAAACCAAATAACAGAGGTAAAATTACATCTACCCCTGCTGGTATCGAAAAAAAATTTACCAAGAGATGACGACGAATTATTTTTGATGAATGCATCAAGGTGGTTTAAACCTCTTAATTGCTAGCTTGGGCTTCCACAAACTTTAGGATACGCCCTACCACAAACACGTTCTATGAATATGTTCAAAAAGGACGTGAAAGCATCAGTGTCCTCTATGCCTTGTCTCAATAGAGGAGCTAGATCAGCTGTTCTCAACAATAATGGGTTCTGGGGATTCTGTTTACTTGTGAGGCCAGCTAGGAATGAATATGCTCTGAAGCCAGCCTTGATTTGTAGAGATCGATGACTCCTCCTCCCTATGTATGTGTGGCCATACATACATTGAAATTAGTAAATACAGTGAGATGTGACATCATTTTTCACATGTTCGATGGGCTTATTTATTGAAGCCAGAAAGACAGCACCTAGCATCCGATCACTTCTATGTGCATGTATTAGTCCACCTATTCCTGTGGAAACTGGTATACAGGTCATTCTACGCGTATCCTGTCTAAAAGATTTAAGAAAGTGCTCTTCCATATATCCTTCGAAGTCTTAGGTAATATCACATTTTCTATGTGCATCCTGATTGTGTTTCAACGAGGTGCCGTAGACTGCCAGATTTTGGAACTCACTGACATGGGAGATTAAAGGATAAAAGCCTACAGTTCTCGATCAACATTCACTATTTGGCGCTGAAGCTCACTGCTCAAGGAAACTAATTTAGTTGGAGAAATATGGCTAAGGAGAGACTCTTGTTTGTTCACTATCTGTAGATAGCAAGTCATCCCAAATTAACAGCGTACAACCTGAGATAACTTTCTGTGTTGTTGGCAACCAGACTGTCATTCAGGTGTTGGTCTGCAGAAATTTGAATTGATTGGTCACATAATTTCACCATGAGCTGAAATTGGCCACAGAACCATTGGAAACCATGACAGTATTTGACAGTCAGCTGTTTCATCCTAGTCGTGAACTCTTCAGTGGTGCTTACCCACCACAGGTGATCGAACCCATAATGTTTTAGTTACAAGATAAACTCGTCGACTATTTAACCACTGAGACCCGATCCACTGGCCAGTCCATGAATTCCAACCTCTGCCAATTCACGATATAACGAGACAGGCACTAGCCATTGCTGGGGAGTACTTGTCCTCACACCCAACCGGGAGTTCTAGTGGGAAGGAGTCATCAATAGGGTACAGGAAGTTGGATGTGAAGACAAGTACTCGGTGAGGATAACATTCATGAATTTGCATAAGTTGGAATGCATGGGTTGACCACTGGATTGGGTCCCAGAAGCCTTGTAACCGTAAGGTCCCGGGTTCGAACCCCAGTGGTTGCGTACCGATGAAGAGTCCTAAACTGAGAAGAAGCAGCAGCACAGTACTCACACCTGGCTTTCCAATGGTTCCTTAACCGATGTCAGGCTATTACGAAATACTGAAGGCAGATTGCTGTCAGCTTACTGTCTGTTTTGACATAGAACTTTGCACTGATGTGCGGCAGTTCAAGTCGCCACACTTCACTCAGCACACAAAGCAATAAAAGAAAGTAGGAGAAATGCATAATAGAGACAGTAAACAGAGGTATGAGACAAGGGAATAGTAATAACGAAGAACAAAACAGTTTCATTGAAAATCATAAGTCACAAGGAGTGGATGCATCTGCGACAGCCATTGAGAACGATTTCGAGCCATGTCACCAATTGTTTCCAACCATTGGTTTTTACCGTCCCGAGGACCCCAACCAGGAAGTCTAAACCTTCCTACGTGGCCTAGACTAACTGTTGTAGATTTCATTGACTGGTGCCATGTTTTCGTTTGACCGCCGCTAGCTCTTTTCCAACCTGACCCTATGTCAGCTAACATTGACCGTCGAGGAAGGTGATGACTAGGCATACGTAACATATGTCCTAACCATCTCAGTCGATGTAGCTTCACAGCCTCGTTGATTGATTTCCCCTCCTTACCGAGCACTCGACCGATGCCTTACCTCAATATTGCTCACCTTATTATACCACTTCACGCGTGAGATAGAACGCAGACACCTATGATCAAAGACAGCTAATCTTTTCATGTCTCACTGACAGCCATAAAGGAGGACGGAGCGGACCGCTGAGCAGTACACAGGCCCTTTGGTCGATAGTCGATATCACGTCTACGCCAGAGACGGCAAGCAGGAAGAAATGGAGGTGGATTAGCCATACTCTGAGAAAACAAACCATCAAGTGAGTGACATCGCACGTCAGGCTCTCTGTCTAGTGGAACCCTATAGGGAAGCGGCTAGTTGGTCGTCCAAGGGTGACATGGAGGAGGATGTCATGTGAAGAGGAGATGAAAACATGTGGGCAGACGTGGAGCCAGGTGTAAACGTTGGCTGAGAACCGAACGGAATGTAGACGTGCGGCTGAAGCCGTATGTTCCTCTACGAACTAAAGGAAACAATGATAATAATAATCTCATTAGATTTATGTATTTATTCACTTTATATGTACCTAATTTCAAGTAAATACAAATAATTAATTATTATTACAATTACTTCATTATTATTTTATAATTATTATCATTACTATTAATTTTTTAATTGCCACTGTCTGACAAACAAACAAAGAAACAAATGAACGCATATGCGAAACAAATAAGGTGAAATAAATAGTCATCATATACATATATCTATGTATATACAATAGTTTGACATTGAATATTGAACAGTTTGTTTTACTGTGCATCTTTCGCGCGTTTTTCTTTACCCGCGGCATTTAAATAATCGAAAATAAATTAATGTAGATTAGTCCATATTATAAATAACTTTTATCCAAAAAATAAAAATTACACAACAGCAAAAGAGAACTTTGCAAATAATGATGAAAGACATTGGAAAAGCGAAATAAAATGTAGGAGTGTGTGTGTGTGTGAACAGATAGTGAGATAAGAATATCAAGAAAGATGATAAATAAAGTCTGTACTTGAAGGCATACATTCACATGTTTTATTCACTATGTGGAACCGTATTGTTCTTTCCACTCAACATATTTATCAGCAAGTTGTCTAGCGGATGGCATTGTTGAAGCTATGGCAGCTTTAACATCATCTGTTGTAATCGGATCAAGATGTATGTGCGTCTGAGGAAGATCTGTAAGGGAATGTTTTAGATGAACATGGAAAGAAACAATCAATAATAATGATGATAATGGATTAATAGTTGAATTTATGTTGTTTCATAAAATTTCAAAAGTGAGATATATGGTACTTAAAAGGCACGTTCATCAGAATTAAATTAGCTACAGTCAACAGTGTTACTTTCAATAACTGCACTTGTAATTCGACAATAAGTACTGTTCTAACTAAACCTAATTGGCTGTTTATATGCGATTGCATAGTCCATAGATTTTACTACTATTCTACATAGTCAACGCAGAAATACTCAGAACAAAAAGGCAGTAGTTCAAGTTGCATATTTGATGGGCAGTAGATTCTGCTTTGGTTCGTTGCAAAAGTTCCCTGATTTTCAGTATCGAGCAACACAAATCATCTGCAAAGTCCAGATTTTCGATTGGTTCGACATATTCTTTGTCTTCTGGCTTCCCAGTGTCTGTAGAATGATTCAGTCCACCACAGTTAGAAATATCATCGGTGAAAGTAGGCAGGCAGCCCTGTAATACTTCTGTATTCACTTCCAAAGCCCTTACTGAGTTTTTTGTTGTGAATCACTTGACATATGGCGTTGTTATTATAGTTGTGGAATTAGGTTGCCAGCTGTTAGGCGTACTCTGTAGTGTTGAAGGAATTTCCAAACTACTTCACGGTCAGCGGTGTCGAAAACGTCTTCAAAGACGACGAAGTCGAGGCAGAGGTTTGACTTCCATTCTATGCTGTGTTCGATGGTGATGAAGATGCGTACAGCTGCATTTTGATCAGTACATTATTTGTTTACCTTGAATGTAACTTGTTCTTAGCGGAGTTTTGCATCTGGGATAAGGCGAAGTGATATTTTACACTTTGTGGACAATAACATGATTCCACGCGAGTTCTTGAAAAGGCTTAAGTCGCACCTATTTGGTAGTTTGGTGGTTTAACCTTTCGTCATATCCCTGGGTGCCTTTCCTGCCTTCCAAACGTTTTGCAGTATTGATATTATTGTTCCCTTGGGTTCCTAGTGGAACATAAGGCTTCAACTGCACGTCTCCACTTCCTTCTGTCTTCTCCCGTACTTTTCACTTGCATCCATGTTAGTTCATACTGCTTCAGCTCCTCTTCACACGATCTCCTCCATGTCACCCGTGGACGTCCCACTCGCCACTTCCCTTTCGAGTTCCACTCGAGCTATGGCCTGACCCGCGATGTCACCCAACCGCCTCCTCAGCCAGTGAGTGTCCAATCCATCTCCACTTTCTCCGGCATATTTCTTGAGCGATTGGTTCTTGTTTTGTTCGTTCCCATAGTTTCTTGTTGGTTCTTGTTCTTTCCGGCCATCTGATCTTGAGTATAGAGTGAAGACAGTTGTTGATAAAGGTCTGCAACAGGCTGTTGGAAATATTCTTTGTGACCCGCCAAGTTTCTGATCCGTATCGGAGAACTGACTTGACGTTTGTATTGAAAATCCGAATTTTGTTGTTGATGCAGGCTGAGTGACGAAGATTTCCAGATTGGTTTCAGGTTGATGGATGTGTTTCTCGTCTTTCCGATTCTCGATTTGACATCTTCGTCCGTTCCTCCTGTAGTTGAGACAATGCTCCCTAGATAAGTGAATGAAGTAACCTCTTTCAAATCCCTCCCATTGATGATGATTGGCGCTGGATGTTGCTGCTGCTGCTGTTGTTGGTTGGTTATTTTCATAACCTCCGTCTTGTCTATGTTCACCTGGAGTCCTGTCTTCTCTGGCTGCTTCTTCGACCAGTTTGTCGGTTTTCGCTTGTAAGTCTTCGATTTTGTGTGACATCAAACATAAATCATCCACGAGTGAAATCCAGGTCTTCTAGATTCTTCACGTCGGTCCAGGATATCCCTGTCTTCTCGTTTCCTACTGTCTGACACATAATCCAGTCCACCACAATTAGGAATATCATTGGTGATAATAAACACCCTTGTCTGACTCCTGTGTTTACTGCAAACGCCTCGCTGAGTTTTCCGTTGTGGATTGGCGTGAGGATATCAGCTGAGGTTTTCTGAATCCATAAAACACAAAATAAGTGAGCAAAGGAGATCCTTTTCGATACATTCCTCTTCTGGCTCTACAATTATATATGCATGTTTATATGCATAGAATATTCTATATTAGTAGTCAATAACAATATTGGTGTTTTTCTAAATAATATCGATTTGTAAAGTATGATCAATGGAATTACAGTTCATTAAAGATGCTTAAATTATAATAATAATAAAGATATAGTAGCAAATAGAATATCAACTAAAATTAGGAAAATTCTACGAAAATTCAGGATCATTCAAACCTAGATGGCCAAAGTAATGACAATTTCTGAACTAACTTCTTAATATGAATCCCCACAGCCAGCTCAGTAATATTTAGTAGTCGAACTCTTAAGGCAAAATTGAGATTTGTTGGTATGCGGTAAATGACCCTGAAAGCATGGTTAATATCAATCAGTCTTGTGTTCTGTATCCACAAGATGAGATAGAATAGCGCTATTTGAATAGATTTTATTTGTCCTTTACTTAACGACGCAGGATGATGTTCGGAAATTCGACGAGAAACACGCCTAATTGTACGACTTATGTAATTGGCTCCACAGGAGCAGTTAAATTGGTAGATACACATAGTAGATACACATTCTGAATCCATTTTAAATGCTTCCGGGAAATTCTATCTGATCCTGTTGAGTATTCAATGAATCTGTCAGATCACAATGAGTAAATATACCTGCATCATTGAGAATGACAGTCTTAAAGCATCTGTTCTTATCCTTTTATGTTCTTTAGTCAGACAGTCCACACCTCCCTACGTGTCTCAACCCAGAAGTCAAAGACTACAAAGATTGATGTCAGGTTTTCATGTGATCACCACTAACTCTTTTCCATCCTGATCCAGTGACAGTTAACATTGTTATACGACAAAAGCGATAGCTCGGTGTGCGTAACACGTGTCTTAGCCAGCTCAGTCAGCATGCCTTCACAACCTCATAGACTAACTTTTCTCCTTTACTTAACCCTCTACTCCTAACCCAGTTATTACTCACTATGTTAAACCCTTTAATACGAAACATTTGCCAATACGGTATGCCGGGAAGAATGCAGATGGATTGGACACACTCCGAGGAAACCGCTGAGTGGCATCACATAGTAGGTGGGTCATGACGTTAAATGCTCTTATATGAAGTTGGCGACATGGCTTTAAGAGGCTGTCGGGGGTGTTTCAAATGGCTCTCATCGTTGTTTGTGGTCACAGAGTGTAGTGAAGATGACTCACTAGCCTGAAGAATAGTACTAACACTGTAGTAGGGGAGTAAGATGATGAAGGTGATGTGGGTAAAGGAGAATGATGCTCGGGGAGGCTTCGTGTGCTCTTGGAAGTGTGTGGGTGGTTGTTACTTCCTGGCTGCCCACACCGTGGAAGACGTGGCAGGCAGAAACTCTAGTTGAGTCCAAGGGATTAATAATAATATTAGATACCTTCCTCTTTTTATAGCCATGTCTTACCACCACAAAGAAGGACAAAGTGAATTAATGAGAGGTACACTGCCCAAATAAAAAAACGTCAACCTAGAGGATGCTGTAATGGGATAATTAATAATAATAATAATAATAATCACAAAGGATGTTGGATCAGTTTTATTTAATGAAACAGACAAAAATTACCAATTAACTATGTCTTACTTTCACTGGCACAATTCTCTAGTATATCGAATATTTTTCGTACAACACGCATTGCTGCTTCTTTACACACTAAGCGTATATCAGATCCAGAATAGCCTTCAGTTAACTGTAATTTTCAAGGAAAAAGTTCAATAAATCAATGAACATTTATTCTGTTTAAGCAGTATAAATAGGCGTTAAAAATTATAAAATAGTAATAATAATAATAACGAAGGATAATGTATTCCTTTTCACAAACGAAAAACGCTCAGATAGAGAGGGGGATTTTCCTCCTGGATGACTGGTTCTATCTAGTTATGCAGGCCCATTTTTAATCACTCGGTAGCCAAGAGTACCAGTGTATGGGTAGTTCAGTAGGTGAATGCTCGCCGACCACGCCAATAAGTTTGAATTCGATTCTTCGCTTACAGACGCACTCCTAAACCTGGATTAGTTGACAGTAAGCTCAATGAGAAGAGGGAAAGTTGAGTGAGAGGCTACCAGTCTCAGCCTGCAAGAAAGACACCACCTCTACTGAAATTTCAATGCCTGATATTTAAGTTTTATGTTTCACTAGCAGCACAAAGAGATGGAAAAAAACACACAATGATATGTGATCAAAATCTAATCTTATAGTCATAACCAGTTTACATAGAATGAATAAAAACGGAAGCTGATGTCAGATATAGCTATTTCATGATGTTATTAGACTGATATCGACTGACTCGCAATGGAATTCAAGTTGCACATTTCGACTTGCCTGGGACTCATCTGTTGGGTGTATTTCCATTCCGGTGAATAATAGCAATCCCATTGAAATTTGAATGCAACATCGATTGTTTCGAATGCTAAGGTAATATCCACTGGGGTATCGAAATGAAGGTCATATTCACAGGAATATATCGAATTATAAGTCCGACTAGAATGTGACACTAAATACAAAGTACTCAGAAGTGTATGGTTTTCAGACATTCAGAGTAAGACCATAACGATTGAACAAGACCTGTTCGGTTAACTTACTCAAGTATATTCACTTAAAGTCTCAATATTAAACAGACTGCCTTACTAATCCACTGAGTAAGAATTATATTACTACTACTACAAAAACACAAAATGGTACATTATGGGTACCAAGGGATGTTGTACACAAAATCTCATTATCTGTGGAGGGGCTGGGATACTGCCCGACGTCCGAAAGGAGGAAGCTAATGGTTGTCTCAAGGGGCCAACCTCCAAACCTTGGACATGAAGTGTGATCCACAAAGTAGTGGAGCACAGTCAGAAGCTACCTACTCATGATTGACGGTGACTGGAACAGTTTCACACGCCCTCCGATTCTTGCGGATTCTGGTGACCATAAAAACTATAAATTTTGAAACAGGGTTTTCCAGATCCCCTGGAAGTCCAACATTCTGGTTGTAAGCAACAGACTTTCGAATTCGCCCTTTTCTTTTCATAAGGAATACTCCTCCTATGTGAATTCAGTGATTAGGACTTGCCTGTCAAAGTTTATGAACGCGTGGCTACGTGAGAGTATTTCGAGAGGGAGACCGAAGTCTACCTGCCATCGGTCGTACCAGGTTGTTTATGGGGTGGCGTGAAAACTTCCGTCATGGTAATGGCCTCCAAATTACTAATCCTGGTCTCTACCAATTGAGCTACGAGACCCAGACCGAGTGTCATAATTTCAGTGCAGTTACCTTAGATATGATGTTGTGGTTAGCAGTTTGGTCTTGTAGCTGAGTTGGTAGAGTGCTAGACGATGCTGGCCTGAATTTCGCTTCGAACAAGATATTCATTTCACCTTCACAATTACCAACCCAATACAGATACAGGACTATTTCAAGGTACTCGTCCAACCAATAAAATTATTTTCCTAGAGTAATCATAATGTTGATGGCCACTTATCTACAAAAGGTGTTAGATATAATGGAGAAGAATTGAAGCTCAGGTGGATGATTTTGGTAGATTTGTGTTCTGTGAGCTGGATGGTTTGTTTACATCCAAACCAGACCCAGAAATCATAGTGTTGACGGAAATTTATACAATAATAAGGTTTGTAATCAAGCAACCCTGATCAATTTATATGATTCGGTCAAAAAATATGAAATACCGTAGACTGTTTCTTGCAGATAGAATAAAATAACGAGATTCACTTAAGCTACTTATAAGTAGTTGAAGACAGATAGCAAAAAAATATTGTGGCACTTTAATGTTAGAGTATTCGACACATTGTATTAGATTTTTTGTAAGTCTGTATAGTAGATGAAAGCTAAATTTCCAGGGAATAATCTCCAAGTGCCTAGTCTGCTGTATACCTTTCTTCTAGTTGATGCTAAGTACACAGAAAAAGGTTCAAGTTTGAAGTAGTTTGTCGGTAGATGGTGACTTGCAGCATGATGATGGCGGCCTGCTTAAAACTTGAGCTACCGAAAACCTCCATCAATATTTTACATATTATTCTGCTGATTTAGTTTGTTTAAATCTATTGAAATGTGGACTCTAGTAGTACTGTTTACTCTGGCAAGTATTTAAATCATGTACAGCGTACTGATTAAAATCACCGAAAATACCCATTGAATCATAAAGAAAAGAAAAGAAAAATTCAGTGAAGGAAATTTTCTTTATCGACGAAACCATTTTCAGAGGTTGTACAGTCGTATTTATATTTGCCAAAAATGTATAGTAGTCTGTAACTGAGTAAAAGGGGGTGACATAATTGATATAATTACTCGGAATTGGCTTTAGAAGTAAAATATTAAAAGTTGTAAATTACGTGGTAATCTACAGCACTAAGTTGGAAATTTGATACGGTTAAAATTGCTGTTGGCGTCTAAACTTCGCCGATGATATATGTCTGATTTCTCACAAACTGGAAGATCTGCAAGCGAAAAGCAACAAGTTGGTAGAAGAAGCATCATAGATAGGAAGGACTTGAGGTGAACATAGAGGAAACAGAGGTGATGAAGATTCCTGGGCAACACCACCAACAGCACCAACAACAAAAGACAACAATCAGTGTAAATGGAAGGAACCTGAAAGAAACAACCTCCTTTACCTACCTACCTACCTACCTGTGAAACATCGTTTCAACTACAGGCAGACAGAATTGATGAGGATATCAAAGCAGCGAGGATCGGGAAAGCAAGTCAAGCTTTCACTACTCACATCAAGTCTATGAGGAGATCAACTGCACTGCTCAGCATGAAAAATAATATCCGGATTTTCAACTCCAATGTGAAGTCAGTGCTACTATCCATACGGATCAGAGACTTGCACTGCGCGTCATAAAGAGCATCTCAAACAAACTACAGGACTTCATCAACAGCCGTCTTCGCTCAATACCACTCAAGATCAGATGGCCAGAAAAGATCAGCAACAGAGATCTCTGGGAGCGAACCAATCAGGAACCGACTGTGAAACAAATATGCAGGAACAAATGGAGATGGATTGGCTGGCCATACTCTCAGGAAACCACCAAGTGACATCACTAGACAAGCAATTGCTCGAGTGGAACCCGAATGGGAAGCGGCGAGTTGGTTGTCTGAGGTTGACTTGGAGGGAGCATGTGAAGAGGAGGTGAAAGCGTGTTGGCAGACTTGGAGCCAGGTGAAAACTCTAGCAGAGAACCAAACGCAATGGAGACGCGCGACTGAAGCCCTATGTTCCTCTAGGAATTAAAGGAAACAATAATAATATAATAATAAAATTGCTGTTGAGTGAGAATAAAGGTAGTTGAGTGTGAAGATGGTGTGAAAATATACAAAAGAAACATATGAGAGTGATAATAGTGAATTAATTAATAAAGTAAAAGCAAACTAAAAGTAAAATTTAAAAAATCAAATTTTTTTTCACTACAACAACTAGTGAAGAGGTTAAGACCAGGGTAGAATAAGAGACTGGAAAATAGAGTTCGGTGTTGTATTGATGAATCGCCAGCGCCTCTGCAGTACACAAAAAGCGAAACCTGACTCCCTTTGTACCATTTGGCCTCACCTTGTAGATGATCTTGAATTATATCAATTATGTCACCCCGTATTACTCAATAACAGACCAGTATACAGTTCTGGTAAATATAAATACGACTGTACAGCCAGCCTCCGAAGATAATTTCGTCGATAAAGAAAATTTCCTTCACTGAAGTTTGTCTTCTATTTTCTTCGAGCCTACTGATTCGCAAGTTTCTACTAAACATGAGAAAAAACATAATCCTCGATTTATGGCAGTATATCTCACTGCATGGGATGACTGTTCCTGACTGGTGTCCTTGGTTTTAACAAAATGTACTCCTGAACTTTTAAATAATTGGCATTCCAAAAAATTTCATACATTTTTTGAAGGGGAAAATATCATGCAATAAACTCCACTGAAAATTCTGTAGATTATATAAACACTGTTCAGAATGACGCTTTTATTGTTAGCAGTAGAATTCAGGGTGCACATTTCGTCCCATCTGGGACTCGTCAGTCAGATATACCTGCAAACCTCCACAGTTAGTGATGGTGTTCCTACCAAGACTCGAACTTAGTATCAGTCGTTTCAAACGCCAGAGACTAGACCGCTTAGTTCAGGAGAGCAGCCTCTTATGCAACAGGTGACAGTTATTATTTGTTTATTAATTCAGTTATGATTTTCCAGTTGATTGATTGATTGATTGATTCAATCCAGATTTTTCAGCATCTGTTTCATATATCAGCTCCTAGTACGGACTGCTAGTCACCATCCACCAAATTAATGCAAGTTAACCTCCGAATATTGTCAAAGCAACGGCAGTGGGAGTCGACATATCAACAGAGGTCGAAAATTTCGGTAAAATACATCTATAAGAAAATGAAAATTGACTGAATGGTATACGAGCTTGCTTTGACTTGTAACCAGAAGGTCGTAGGTTCGAACCCAGGCGGTTGGTGCGTACTGCCGATGAGTTCCAAACCAGGATGAAACAAATATCCAGTACTCCTAGCTGGTTTTCAATGGTTCTCTAACTGATATCAATCCGAGGTCAAACTAGAGAAACAACTCAAATCCTTACAAATCAGCTCTTGAAAATTAAAGTTGAATAGAAACAAATAAGGATTCCATTTGATCGAAAATTGACTTGAGTTAGAGAACCATTGACTAAGTGCAGTATGAAGCTACTTAAAAATCTAGTGACAGTTTGTGACTAGGTTGGGGTTCACGAAGTTGGAAATGAGGACAAATAATCCTCGATAACACTGACTTTATTTTGGTTACGACATATGTCACAATTTGGTAAAAAGTTATAATTCATGGCCTATTGGATTCCCCCCTATCGGTTAAATGGTCAACCTGAAGGCTGGGGTGATAGGTAGGTATTGCCGAAAAGACCTAAACTGGGACGAAACATCTGTCAGTACTGTTAAGTAGTTTTCAAAACTTCTCTAACTGATGTCAGTGTGTGGGCGAATTCAAGATCAGTTGGATTCCTGCAGAACGGCAGTTGAAAATAGAATTTAACTATTTCATGACATAATTACTTTGAATGACGATTGAACTTATCTGAACTCATAGTGAGACTATTTCATACAACGTTGGGTCGGCAGACTATTATTGATGGATCGATTGGTGAGAGTATGTCAAAGTGATGGAATCTTATTGTTTATTCATCTGACTGACAGACGGAGAGATAGTCAAATGTTTATATAATTTGAATCCTAACTGACAGAAAACTAACGATCTACAAGTACTGGATCTCAGTGATTTGATTTGATTGATTGCAGGATTTCATCATGAGCTGACGTCGGTTAGAGAACCATTGGAAAACCAGCCACAGGGAGTACTGGACAATGAGCTGTTTCGTCAGCCTCATTTGGGAGTCTTCAGGGGGATACGCCCACCGCCAGGATTCGAAACCAGAACCTTCTGCTTACCAGGTGAGCTCGCAGACCATTAAGCTATTGGGACCTAATCCAATGGCCAGTGCATTAATTCCAACTTCTGCCAACTCACGACATAGCATGACGGCTAGCGAATGTCCTCGGCGAGTATATGTCCTCACACCCGACTTCCTGTATTTGCACATAATAATCTCTGAACTTACAAGTAGTCATACTTTTGGAAGATGAAAGCATTCAACTTACCTCTGCAGCTAATTCATAATCTAAAAAACACTTCAACTGTAATCCATTTGATGATTCTTGTCCAATAACCGGTGGGAGGAATGTTTCAAACATACGCATTCTTGCTTCTTTATTTGGTAAATCGACTAGAATTCTTTTCTCTAATCTACGCAGCATTGCATGGTCTAATTCCCTGACAGTTGGATGGAAAAAAATTAAAAGAAAGGCGGGAAGAAGTAATAAAAAGTGTTTTGACCTGTAAGTGTTCTCAAAGTCATAGACATTTAATGTATATACACATGAATCAATAAATTATACCTGTTTGTCTTAATGACTGCCTTCATATGAAGTAAGCAGACAGGAGGCGGAGGTGACAGCCGACAACAACAACAAGCACCAAGGGAAGAAATCTAAGAGAAGTCATCTCTTCCACTTATCTGGCCGTGAGCAGCATCGTTTCAACTACAAGCAGCATGGATTTGTATATCAACACTGGCTAGGATCGGGAAAGTAGTATGGAGATCAATTGCACTTAGCTTAGCAATATCAAGTTAGTGAGTATTTCTATGTTAGCTGACACAGGGTCAGGTTGGAAAAGAGCTAGCTAGTGGTGGTCAAATCAAAACATGGCTTCATCAGTCAATGAAATCCACAACAGTTACTTTAAGCCACGTAGGAAGGTGTAGACTTCATGGTTGGGGTCGTCGGGACGGTAAAAACCAATGAAGGCTGGGGACAATTACCGGTGATATGGCTCAAAATCGTTCTCAATGCATAGCGCAGATGCATTCACTCCATTGTGACTTATAATACCCAATGAAACTATGTTGTTCTTCGTTATTGTTATTATTCCTTTTGTCTCATATCCCTGTTTACTGTCTCTATTTTGCATTTCTTCTAATTTCTTCTCTTGCTTTGTGTGGTGACTTGAAGTGCTGCACATCGGTGCAAACTTCTTTGTCGAAAACAGACAGATAGACGGATCAGAGACTTGGTACGTGTACTACTGAGCTCATTTCCAACAGGCTACTTCCGATTTTCATGACTGCCAACCTCCTTCACTCAACACTGAAGACAAGATGATCGGCCAGAAGGAATGAGAACCAAGGAACTGACAGGCAGATAGTGAGCCAGTCAATAAATCATTTACTGACAAATTTGCAGAAGGAAATGGGTCAGTGATGCATTGAGGAGACATCTGGTCACCACTTTCATTTATTTAACCAGCATCGTTCCAGAAACAGGTGAGACGGATAAAGATGTCAAAGCCAGGCAAGATTGGAAAGGCAAGACAAGCCTTCATTAATCTGAAATCAGTGTGAAAATCTTCTGCAATCATCCAGCTTAAACAACGAAATTCGTGCAGACTGAATTCTATCAGTCAAGTTTGCAATGTGGCCATGATTCTAGGTAGCTCGCCAATCCAAATACCCACTACAGTCCTACAGGAGGTCAATCGCGAGCTGCACTGGGTGACGCGGGTCCGAATCTCAGAAGGGACATGACTTCCTTCAAGGTTGCTGCCTAGTGAGTGCCAACTAGCACGAAAACTAGGTCCAGGGCTTCCTTCCGATTGCCTCCAACCATCTAATATCATCAAATCAATGTGTACCGTGATGGTGAGCTACCTAGAATGGTGGCCACATTGCAAACCTGACTGATAGAATTCAGTCTGCACCAAAGAAAGGACTAGACGCATCACACTAGTTACTAGTGTCCAATCAAAGTATTATTAAACCAGGATTTACAAAATCTACTCAGCTTAGATGTAGCAAACTTAATCATCGTTCATCAACACGGAGTCATTTTTGCTTCGTCAAGTTGGCCAATTGGTAAAGGTAACAAAACCAAGTGTAGGTTGTTGGATTTGATAAGTGTGTTTATATAATGAAATTGGTTATCATATTCGCGTTGATTTCATCATTTCATGAGGGAACGCGGTGTTGCGAGCAGATCAAATTCTGTTTTAGTCTATCATTCCTATTCAGACAGTTTGGATTCCATTTTATGTGAAGGCCTTCTGATGATATTAGACGTTCTTTGTGATTTCTGAAATTTTTCTGGATGATGATTTCAATATTGTCAAAATCAATTTTGTGACCTGATTCTACAGTGTGTAGACCTATAGCTGGTGATTTTTCAATTTTCTAGTTCAACCGGATTTCTCAGTGGTCGTATAGATGCTCTATGGTGTTCATTTCTTTTGATTTCTCATAACGTCTGTCCAATGTATATCGCATCACATTCCAAGCATTTTACTTTATAGATACAATTAGATAGAGAATCTTTAGGGATTTGGTCTTTTGTATGGACAAGGTTCCTCTTTAGTTTGGCTAATGTTTTGAAGAGAACTCTGATGTCGAATTGATTGAGTACTCTTCTGATATCATCTGACGTCTCTGCTCTATATGGAATGACAACTGTCGAGGTCCATGTTTTCGGAATACGTTTTAGACCATACTTAATGTCAGTGTTGATTTTGTTGGTGAAGTTCTATGGGTAGTTGTTTTGCTGCAGAGTTTCAGTAATGTTTGATATTTCTTCTTCTTTTTCTTTCTTATCCGTTATCAGAGAGTGTGCTCGTCTAAGAAGACTTGAAACAACTGAAATCTTTGCGCTGATGGGGTGTGATGATTTGAAGTCTAAATATTTATTGGAGTGGGTTTACTTCCTGAATATAGATATACTAAAATGTCCGTTTTCCCTCCTCTTAACTAGGCAGTCTAGAAATGGTAGTTCACCGACGTCCGATTCTGCTTCCGAAGTAAACTGGATTCTGGGAGATAGATTGTTTAGTTTCTCCAAGAATGAATTGTGTAGATTTCATTTTAGCACAACAAAAGTATCATCAACGTATCTCAGCCATATTTTAGGAGTGAGTATGCTTAAAAAGATGTTATCTTCAAATCTATTCATAAAAAGATCAGCGACTATTGGGGAAACTGGTGAACCCATAGCAACACCATTTGTCTGTCTATATAAACTCCCTTTAAATGTAAAATAATTACTTTCTAGACAGAATTTCAAGCTCTTAATTATTTCACTGGTGTCCAGTGGACAATCTTTGTGATAGCGTTGTATCTGATTCTAGTAGACTGGAAATGATATCAAGACTTTCGGGAATGGGCACACTAGTAGATAATGAGTTAACATCATAGCTTACCATTGTTCGCTACGATTAATTGGATATCACTCACATTAACCAGCCATGAAATTCCCCCCTTGTAAATCATGGATTTAGTTTGCAAGCTGAGAGTTTAATTCAATGTAACATCAGTTCACCCAATTAGCTAGACATAATTCTGGTGGTTTTCACTGATTTGACTGTTTGAGCTGTGTCAAAACGCGTACACCGGCTATCCAGTGTTCAGATCGCGTCGATCTGGCTAGCTAGCTAGGCAGCAGTACTACGAGTTGATATAAGTGGTGTCCAACTGTGGTGAGATCTGTCTGCTAGCCAAAATTGGTAGACAGCAATTTACGTCAATGTTTACATCCCATGTCTTGGTCATGAGAAAAAAACACAAGAACAAAGACTAACTCAACAACCAATCACAGCAGACTTCGCGTGGGCGGATACAATTAGCAGATATATGGTCTGACCTTCAAGGAAATGGCCACAAAGAGATGACAGAATAACCTTCAGCAGGAAAACAACCAATCAGAAGACGTCACCTCTCTGCTAATAATAACGAATAATAATGTACATAAAATTATAAATTCTTTCTGTCATTACACAACTACTCATATCATTCAACCAGTAGTATGTATATATTATCATGCAATTAGCAGACTTTCTATATATACATCTCACAAGTGAAAAGCCTGAAAAATGAAGATAGTCAGAATAAACACAAAAAATACTAGTTCCAATTCTTACCATGGCAGATTAGAAGCTGCTAACAAGAAGACCAGGTCATCAGATTTAGCTAAACCATCCATTTGCATTAATAATTCTGTTTTCATTCTACGTGAACCTTCATGTTCACTGCCCATAGATATGCCTGAACCTCCACCACCGCCGCCGGATGTACTACATCCAGATATTGAACCTCTTTGTGACATTAAAGAGTCTAATTCATCTAAGAATATAGTCGATGGGGCATGAAATCTAGCCAACTCGAATAGAACCTGTGAAAGGTATAATGCAGTACAAAAACATTCAATGTTAGTTAGTAGTGGTAAATCTTAAAAAAAGGATTTTCAGAGAAGATCAACTGAGTATTATTACAACGGCTGGTCATATTTTACACAAAGCCTGACCGAATACTGCTATTTTGACGTGGTGGTTGTGACTGCATATATTATTATTATTATTATTCCCTTGGGTTTCAAGTGGAACACAGTTGGGCTTCAACAACAGATCTCCACTTTCTTCTATTTTCTGCATCTCTTCAGCTGGGTCCATAATTGCCAATAATCTCTTATCTTTTCCTCCCACACACTCTCTTCTCCATGTTACCCTCACACTGACGACCCACTCTTTGCTTCTCATTGGGATTCCTGTGGACTAATGGGCTGAATTATGCACGATGTCATTCGACGGTTTTCTCAATGTATGCCCGATGACCTCATATCTTAATGGCCAAATAAGCTTTACAGGCTGAAACCAATATTCTTACAGGTCATAGCAGGCTAAAGTGATGACTTGGAATAGTGGTCAAATATGAAACAATTACCATCTTATCGCAAATAGCTGTTGTGAGTCTTAAGACGAAAACATACTGCTCTGTGATAGGGGTATAACGTCGATAAGGTGTCTCCATAGGAAGATCAGCAACTTCATTTACAGTTTAAGGAAAGCTGTACTTCCCAACGTATCCTATAATTGTCCGTAGTGTTAAAGTATAGCGATCCAACAGTTTAAATCTACCAATGACCTTGAAACGACCAAACGACTTCAGAAGAGTGTTTCGGGTCGCTTACTCAATCTTAACCTTAATTTTTCCCTAAACCCATCGTAATCTTACCATAAACACCAATTTTTTAAACATGTACCAAAAAGCCCGTGTCTCAAGGGAAGAAATGCTTTCAGTAGTGCCATTGCCAGACATCTCTTTGATGATGGGGGTCATGAGGTGAATGTCGCAAGATCCTTCAAAGTTATCACTAGGCAAGAGAGTTTATTTCGCCTCAAGTTTGCTGAAGCAAACTTTATCAAACACCTAAAACGCGATTTATGTGTTCAGAAAG